GGACGGGAACAGAGGAAACGCAGCCGGAGGTATTCAGGGAGCAGAAGAGTGGGATTCACTCACCGGTTGGCGTGGTAGCAAATGGGGTGACTTCAGGTCTCTTGTTTGGGAAAATGGGAGGGTGGTGGCTCCGTCCTCCCCGTTAAAGAAGAGAGGAGGAGAAGGGTTTGCCAGCGGGGAGCGTGAGTTCAGGTGTGGACACGCTCAGGCTGAGATGGTGAGACGCCCAGAGGGCGTTTGACTTTCGGCCGGGAGCTCAGGACAGGGCTCTGAGACAGAAACCGGGATTTGAGGCCATCAATACCGAGAACTGCGGATGCCTAGGGTTTGGCGGAGGTTGGATGGAATGGGCAGAGCAGGAAGCCAGGGGGGACAGTCGGGGACCCCTTTCCCTCAGTGATGGGCAGAGGAGCCAGTGCCCACGGAGGAAGCGAGAGGAGCAGTCGGAAACCCGAAATGTGGGAGGGCAGCCAGGGGGGCTTCTAAGAGACAGGGGTGTCCAGACTGCTCCTTGAACCATCTTGGTACCGAGCAAAGTCCTAGCCCCGAAGGACCCTTCTACTCACCATCCACACACCCACGGAGCCATCACTGAAGAAAGGTTTCCAGTGCTTAAAAAGAATTCAAAAACATTGTAGTAGGCAATGTAATTATGTCAGACCACATTGTTAACTATTTGGAAAATATATAGAGAGATCACAACTTTATACCACATAGGAAAATAAATTACAAATGTGTTTAAGAGTAAAATTTAATAATTGAACCATAAAAAGTTTAGGAAAAAATTTAAGTGAATGTACTTATCTTAATGCATTAAGATTATTTCTAACAAACCAAGACAGAAACTGAACAAAAGGAAAGGTAAATAGATTTGACTATTTCAATATGTAGCCCCTTTACATCAAAAGTTCCATTCAAATTTAAAAAACAAATGCCCCTCTGAGGGGTGGATTGAAGGAGGAAAGAGAGTAACTCATCTTTTAATTTTATGTACATTTATATTTTTTACTCTTTTTAAGAGTATTTATTATCTTTATAATTTAAAAAAATGTACTTAAACTACAAACTAGAAAAAAATCAGTTCAGAGATATAAAGTTTGGATAGCTTTGTTAAAAAGCTTTTATGAAGTATTAAAAACAGATGCACACTCTAAAAAAACAGGCAATGAATATGAATTCAGTTCACAGAGGAAGAAATACAAATAACTTATAACCTATGAAAAATGATGCTCCTCATCAAAAGAGCACAAACTTTTAAATAAAATGTGATTTTTTAGTCAACCAAATTGGCTAAGAGATTTTAAATGGTATTGCCTAGTGTTAGTAAGGAGCTGGCCAATTGGTCCTCTCATGTCATGGGTGCTGGTGGAAGGGTAACTTGGTACTATATTCCCGGAGGGATTCTGGATGTGCATACAGCATAGATATGGCTGACTCAGCAATCCCACTTCTAGGAGTTCATCCTAAGCAAGTGATTATGGAAGTGAATAAAGATTTTTCTACAAAGATTTCAATGTGTCATTCAATTATTTTAAAAAACTGACAACTATCTAAATGTTCAACAATAGAGAAATGGATAAATAATCCATGATGTATGTATCCATAAAGCAGTATGCTATATAGCCTTTAAGAATAATGTGGGAGAGGAATATTGAATGACATGGAAAGTGGTTTCTACTATACAGTTAAACGAAAGAAGAAGATTGTAAAATGCTATGTACTTCTGTGCACTAAATTATCCCAATTTTATTATTTAAATATTTGATGTGGCTGTACATAAAAGTACATGCATATATATAACTGGAAAATAAACATAAAATATTAACTGATGGCGTTATAGGTGAGTTTATTTTTTCCTTAAACACTTTTATAATCGCACAGTGTTATATTTTAAGGTGATGGGAAAATGAAATAAAGTTATATCCAGGCAACAAGGTCAATGGCCACAGAGAGGACAAACATAAACACAGAAAAGGATCAGATGGATATGAGAGCTTAGTTAGGAAGCCTGCCCTAGAAGAGCAATGAGGGCGGAGCCTGGTTGCAGTGGAGTTAGAGCATGTAGAAACACATATGTAAACAACCCACTTGAGATGTTGGCTGTGAAGGAAAGTGAGTAGAATAGTTAAAATACCGTTTTTTTTGGTGAGGAATACTAGCTCTGAGCTAACATCTGTCGCCCATCTGCCTCGTTTTTTTGCTTGAGGAAGATTAGCCCTGAGCTAACATCTGAAAGACCCCTTTTTTTTTTTTTTAATGTTAACTCACAGTAGGAAATACCCTTTGCATCACCACCCAGTATACACATAGATACATGTATAGATAGGTTAAAAAACTGAAACAAAAGCTTTGTTTATAAAAAAATACTTACTGTTAAATATAACAGTTACTATTAAATATAATTTTGTTCACTGTTGCAGACACGCTGGCCTGTTCTTAAATTCATTCCAGGCTGGAGACACGTGGACAGGCTGCATGCACACCCCAGGTGCTTTTTGGTTTGATGTCCATTTCATCCTGCTGTTCTTAGTTATGTTGGTTAAAAATTCTAGTTCACACAACGAAGTTGCTGTGAATGCTATTAATAACAATATACTCTACTTAGCAACTGAAATTGCAAATTTCAGCAAATTCTTCTTTAATCTTAATCTGAATTGGTGACAAACTTATAATCATGATTTAATGTGTTTGAATAACAAAGCATTAGCAATTGGCTTTCTTCTTTGGGCATCAACTTTAACTCAAATATGGATTCAGGATTTTGAAAAACAAATGGATCTTTTATCCATATACTTTTCCTTGCTATTTCAAATTTCTTTTTTGGAAATGTTTGAAGTTTGAAACAGAGACTTGCAATATCATTAATATCTTTAATTCTATTCCATTCAAAGTATCATCATTAATAATGTTCTCTTCCTGTGTTGCAAAGCATTGAGGACATATAGTAACCATGGTGATTACTTAAAATATATTTTGTAACTGTTGGATATATTTAACATCTTGAAATATAATGTTACTTTTTCCCTGTAGATCCAAATTCAGTTAATTAAAAATGTCAAAAAATATGAGTTTTTGTGCCAATTTTGTTGCTGAAATATCATCTCCAAAAATGTTAGCCAAATGAGATTGCTTTTAAACAGAAAAATGTGAATCTCATTCTTGAGTTCATATAACTTGATTAGTATTTTCCTCATAACAATAACTCCAGCATCATATAACGTACACATATATCAGTTAATGGAAAGGCGAAGCTGCTTGAATGAAGACCCAACAATACAGTGGTTTACAGAACCCACCTTTATTTCTCTCTTAAATTAAGTCCTGCGTCAGAGGTGCAGGTGGTACGGCAGTTCCAGGAGATCAAGGACCTCGTATCTTGCATCTTACACTCCACCATCCCAGAGGGAGTTGTTCTCATCTCTGTGACCAGAGATGGGTCCTCGGCAGGTTGTGTTCTAGCTGATAGGGAGAGGAAGAGAGATTGATGAGCCCAGGCCTCAGATGCAGTGGTCACACAGATCCCTTCTACTCTATTCCATTGGTGAAGAGAGTTGCAGAGACACACCTGGGTCAATATAGTCAATCTGGGTCCCCAGGCCCTGCCACAGCTCTGTTCCTGTGGCAGCAGGAAGAGGATTTGGTGGGTGACCACCAATCTCAGCCATAGCTGCAATTTCTGAACAAACATATCAGAAAGTAAAGATTCTCTTAAAGAAATTAAACCACTATCACTACTTCTGTTTTCAAGAGATTCAGTAGAATTCTTAGGATGCCAAATCCTTACAGTATATGAAACGGTGATTCCAAATAGTAATGTAGATGGTAATTTCTAATATTTTAAATCACTCTGCTATGTTTCCTGGTCATATTTGCTTCTGAATCACTTGCAATTCTATTACAATTTACCAATTTATGTTTTTCAAGTAACGTATTTTTCCAATTCTATGAAGTGACTTAAACCAGTTATGTGTTAGGTTAAATTTAAAAAACACAATAAATCCTTTATAAAAATTGTCTTGTGATATATATTTGGCATAAACTGAAAGTGTAGTAACGTGAAATATTAGTTTCTCATTAAGCAGAATCACACAATCTGTGTCTGCTTACATCTGCCTAATAAGTATTAATTCTATTCTGTATGTGCTGTAGAACTACAAATTTGTTAAAGGAATGTGTTATCACTTAGAAGTATAATTTTAAATTTCTCTGCTGATTTCTCATCAAGAATTAGATTCACCATGACCATGTATGCTGAGAATAATTTTTTCAGCAACTATGTAATTTTTCTCTTTTGCCACATATATGCAATGAAATATGACAGTAACACTTTCTCATTAGCCAACGTGAAATAGTGTTAAAAAATTTATGTCTTTTTTTCTCTCTTTGAAAATATTTGAAAGTCTTATCAACAAGTTTGGCTTGCTGTATTTCCAAGTTGTTTTTTTCCCTAAGATTTTAAGCTTTCATTTGCAAGAAAATCATTGCAAATAATACATTTTCAATGGTTCTGAGCATTTAACAAGCTATACTTAATCTTTATTTAAAAAGCTTGCATGTTTTTTCTTTTTGGATTAAGCTCAAATTAAAAAATTTATTGATTAGAAGAAACATTTTTCCCAATGTTGTCGCCATTTATAGGTCCAGATCTGGCAGTGCAACCAGAACATGCTTCTGCATTTTTCACATCATCATTCTTATTTCTTCTAATAATAAAATAACCTATTTTGAGAATAATTTATACAAGTTTGATTAAAATGTACAACTATTGCAAAGTCAAAAATTGCCTAACAATTATGCCTAATCCAAAAAACACATCAAAAATTATTAACTCATAACTAAAACTTGATGAGAAGTCTTGCTGCCCTTGCCAACAATGGATAAATTCTTCTAAACTTTACTTCATAATTAACTGTAAATTACATTGACATAAATTAAACTATAAAATATTAAGTCTCCTGATGCATTTATGATCAAATCCAGAAAACCATATGAGACACCAGTGGACAGAAGAGTGAATAGCCAGCTGCTCCCAGCCAAGGCATACGGTCATTACAGCCCCTCCACCAGCTGTCACTCACCTCAGTTGTCCCCAGTATTTACTGCAACGTGAACAGTGTGACTGAGAATGTATATATTGCCTTCCGATATTGAAGGTTCCACACTACTTCATTTTTAAAAAGAATATATTCTGGTGAAATAGACTAACTGCTTTCACAATCCACTAATGGGTAGAGACCTGAAATTTGAAAAACACTAGACCAGCGGGAGATTTGAGACGAAGAGTCTGTTGGTGGGAAGCAGGTTTATATAGTAAAAGAAAAGAGACATAAAGGCAGAAGTTAAAGAGGTAGGTGACAGCCAGCAGAACAGGTGAAACAAGCATCCTATGGAGATGGGAAAGACGGTGTTTAGAATACAGACAGAGTCACTGGCCCAGTTACGGGATGAAGGCCAACCTACAGACAAGGAGGGGAAGACGGGAGACTGGGATCTGATGGTGTGTAGTTTGTTGATGTGGGGACAGGAATTTGTGGGATCCACCCCTCATGGCTTTTGTTTGCTTGTGACACAGGAAGACATTTGTTGAGGAGAAGTGAATAGATAGAGCATCAGAAGTCTGGGAATGGGAAAGAGAGGTGACCAGGGATGCGTAGAAGACTTCCTTGAAGGGTCGAGAGCCCTCACAGCTCCCTGTTCATGGACATTTAGGAAGCAGTCCTAATCCAGCAAAATTTCCAAGTCTGGTAAAATCTAGTGAATTTGCTGTTGCTTCAGATGCTGACCACCTGGGTTGATGATGCTAGATCCATATTTCCAGCTCAAATCTCCCTTTCAAGCTTATTTTACCTGATATTCAAATATTGGTCCTTTCACTTACTCTGATGCCTAATTCACAACATATTAAAGAAACTTATCTGCAATATTGTTTAACCCAAATATACACCAGTATAATCTGAAAGTACAATAAGTATATTTTTGGATTAAATCCAATTTTGTGCTAAATTCAGCCTAGGAAAATAGCATTTAATTTGAAGATGGTTTATAAAATCGTTTGTGATCTTGAGCATTTAAAAAAGTAAATGATTATTTTTAATAGATTTTAAGTAATTTGTGTAAAATATAGTGTACCGTTATTTAAGGAAAAAATTTAAATACCCCCAAAATAGATATTAACATTGAAAAATGATGCCTTTATTTGCAAAACAGTTTTCTATTTTAGTAATAATTAACATGGAGTTAAATGTGATACATTGGACTTTTGCTTCTGGCTATGATACAGCAGCTTGCACAGAACAACCTGACGGTTGAAAGCAATTATAAAACTGGATTTAAAAAATTAAAAGCAGTTGTTTGAAGGCATCGACAACAACAGGAGCAGTCAGGACTCGACGGGCTGAGATCCTGGAGAGAAGGGCCTGCTGGGAAGCGAGCCAGCTGGTCTCTGCCTCCTTTCTCCCTGAGCCCCTGGTGGCTCACGTCCTAGTGCATAGAGGCCACATCGAAATGGTGGCCCAGCGGTGTCAGACTGCTCAGGGTCTGGGAAGAGAAACATCAGTGTTCAGAGTTGTGAAGGCATTTAGAACTCAAGGAACAAAGGTGCCAGGGAAAAGGGAATCAGGCAGAGTCCAGTCTACGTGAAATTATACATAACATTATAAACGATAAAGTAAACAGCCACAGGCTTGACACCTGCTCATTAACAAAGTGTAATGAACAGCCTTTCTTGTGGATCTTGAGGGATCCATGTGTGCAGATGTGCCTGTGCGTGCCCACAGGTCAGAATACTTTTATGTAGGAAACATTATACGTGCTCTCATACATTCTGCGTCTTTCCCGTCACTAGCTTGTCACAGTCAAGTTTTCCTTTTTAATGGCTGCTTGTTACTCTGTGGATGACTCTAACAAACTGTGATCAATATTGTTGGTTCCAGCTGTTACTGTTATAGAGACTTCAGTGAACACTTCTGTAGTTGTTATGTTACTTTGCTATTAGAATATCTCCCTTGAGTAAACTCCTGGAAGTGGAGGTGCTGAGTCAAAAAGCATACACAGCTAAAGGGTTAACATGTTGCCAGACTTGCTCAAGGAACACGGATGTTTGCCTCCACCGACAGCACACAAGAGAACTTTTATTTCTACTCTTCAGCGTCACAACGTACTGGAAATCTTTTCCCCTTTACCAGCTTATTAGGTGGAAAAATTGTATTTAGTTTCTGTTCTAGTTTATAACTAAACCTAAAAGATGAAGTTGAACATCTTATTTTTATTGTTTCATCTCTGCCTCCTTTGCGCATTTAAAAAATTAGGATTATCATCTCTTTTTATCAGTTTGTAAGAGCTGTTTTTATATTAGGGATAGTAATTATGTCACATAGATTGCAAATATTTTTTTAAGTTAGTAATTTGTTTTTTAACTTTGTTTGTGGTTGACTACATAGAAATTTTTAATTCTGTTACCGCATGTGTGTGTGAATGTAATGGCGGGATCCTCTTTACCAAGGCTCTCTCTGATTGCTGCTAGCAGTAATCCTCTAGAAAACTGTAAAAGGACAAAACCTTCTTTCATTAGCAACCCAGGCTGAAGGAAACATGGTGCTGCTCTAGCTGATACTGTGGAAACAGAAGTAGAAACACCCTCGGGAGAAAAGGAAGGGAATTACTGAAGGTATGACTTGAAAAGTCACCTCTGGGGTCTTACACTATCAAGAAATTCTAGTCCTTTAGAATGCTCCATTCTGCATCCTCAGCCATTCCCTAAGCCTTAGCTTCTCAAAGACCCTGCAACAGGCCATAGGAGCTTCCATCAGTGATTTAGAAGGGGGAGAATTCTGCATTCTGATAATATGTGTGCATCGAAGGGAGATGTGCTCTTAGAATTTCAATTTGAAATGAAGAATAAATTCTCCTATAGGCACATTATTATACATGGTGATTAGGATGGTCAGGAGACTCTTGCTGTGGATAAAGACAAGTATACAGACAATTACAAGTTACTTCTATTGTCCGGCATCTGAATATGCTTCCAATTTGGGAGGAATTCCTCAGAAGTTTAGAGAAAGAGTCCTACATCATATTGTGGAAGCTAAAGTGTGGCATATATTTTCCCTCATCAATGTGTCCATTTGAGATTCCGATTCTGAAGGCAGCACCAAAAAGAAGGAAGGGACATGGGTCCAAGACAAGGATGCTCCTAGCACTACCGATAGTCAACAGTGTACTGGCGAAGATCCTGGGCAGCACAATGACATGACAGAAAAAGTACAAGAATTAGAAATGGAATCCATGAAACAGTCCTTATTTATAGATGATATGATTATCTACTTGGAAAATTCAAAAGAATCTACAGATAAATTCTCAGAATTAATAAGAGTTTAGCAAGATATCTAGATGTAGTATCAACACAAAAAGACAATTGCATTTCTATTCACCAGCAAAAAAAAAAAAAAAATGTTTAGTAGCATAAAATAATATATAACATCTAGGAATAAATATAGAAAACAGGTACCGGTCTTTTGTACAGACTACTCCAAGTATTTATTGAAGAATATTAAGGAGATCCAAGTAAATGGAGAGACATATCTCACTTGTGTAAAGAAGACAAAATATTGGATAACGAGCAATTCTAATGAAATTCCCAACAGGTCTTGTCATGGAGCACAAAAGG